TGCGTGTTCTACTCTTAGTCAGTGTGTGCTGTGTGTTCACCTTCAAATTCGGGCTGTGTGTTCGACAAAACAGTGTTTGAGCCGTGTGTTCACTTCTTAACTAATGTGTACCGTGCGTTCGCAATCAATTAATGAGCCGAGTGTTCAAAAATTCAAGTGTTTAAGCTACATGTTCAAGATGCAAACAAAGTACTATGTCATAGGCTAAATTGTGTGTCCAAGCATGGCAAAAGCACAAAATGCACGAAAAATGCAGAAAATAAAGTAAATACCTCTCGTGCCTCATAGGAGAGGTGATGCTTTGGCTCTCGCAGAAGTAGATCTCCGGGTGCTCGATCATCAAAATCAGTAAAGTGACGAAAAGTGGCCCGGGGAAGAACATGTGCCGGCGGGACATACCTCTCGGGAATAAAGGGTCGAACCCTCGGAGGCAAAGTCATGACATCAAAATTATCCCCGGCACCTGGAGAGCCCCCACCATGACGAAAATTATCCGCCATTTCGAAAAATCTGCAAAAGGGGCAAAAAATGAGCAAAAATAAGCAAAAATTGGAAAAAGTCAACAAAAGTCAACTCCCGAGAAAATCTTCCAAATATTAAGACAAACTCACCTCAAGTGGCGAAAATGAGAAAAGAAGCCCCGAAACCAAAATTTAATCGGTTCAAAGTGCTTGAAACTGAATGTTTTCGCGAAAACAACTTGCATGGGGCGTTGAAAAACGCGTATAGAACCCGGATCTGAAGGAGAAAATGGCTTGGGAAGCAAGAGGAGAAGATTTCGTGGCTGGTGTTATGAGCTCAAAGTGTTTGGGTGAGAGAATATATAGAAAAGGAGGTGAAAAGACAAAATTACCCGCGGATTTGGGCAGGTGGCCAGGCGGCCACCTTTTCTACCCGGCCGGCTATTCTCTTTTTGAAAAAGTGGCCGGCGGCCTCCCCTTGGGAAAATAACTGGCCGGCCGTATCTCCCACATGCTCACCTAGCTCTCTGCAAATTTTGAGGAAGATTGGAGTTCCCGGGACCTGAAAAAGTTCAAGAAAAGTGCACTTTCTGTCGCGAAATTGCTCCGCCGGAACTTCAGCTTCAAGTTCTGACATGTGTCTCATCATTATTCATCGAAATCAAGATGTATCCTTTTTGAATGTGTTGTAGCCTTTCCAGGAAGTGAATCGGAGGCCGTGATCGAGTCGCCTTCGCCGAAACACGCGTTTCTTTGCTCGTCGTTTCGTAACAAACGGGCACCTTGATTTATGCTCGTTTTGCACTATCGTGCACATAACTTGCATTCTCATGAGCATACTTGCATTATTATGCACATTTCTTGATATTGCCATACCTCTGTGCTTGAGCATGCGTTGTCACGCACGTTCCTTTCTCGCATCGCGATACATTCACTCGCCGGCACTGCGTGTGTCAAACTTTCGAAATCACATTGAATATATGTTGTTAGCATATTGTGCTTGTTGAATTTCTCTCTTTTGCAGGCACGATATTGTATGTACGGTTCATTTGAGGCTGGTGCGACCAGACGAATCGCGCAGGTATCGTATCTTCTCCGTATGAGACGCGGCGAGAATTGAACAATTCTCCGCATTCTTAACAGCATGAAGTGTAGTTGTTGCTTTGCATTCTTGCTTAAAACTGTTGCATCTATTTGCGAATACTTGCTTCATTACAGCTTGCTACATTTGCATGATCATTGAGTTACCTCCGGCTCTGTGCATATCGCTTTGCATTTTTGCCCCTGCCTGCGGGCACATCTCTGTTTATCTTGTATGTTTGTCTAAGTCTTCGGCCTTGTCAAAAATGGGTTGTCTCCGGGCTTTGACATTCACTCCCGTCACTTATGACTTTCGAGTTCTGTCAAAGAGGGGCAACTGTAGACACCCCATTTTTGACCGACCTTGAGACTCAGACATCACCAGTTGAGCGCTTGGTGATATTGCATATCGTGCTCGTTCAGAAGTTTCAGAGTCTCGGCTGCGAGCCCTGCCTCCGGACTTCCGAACCCTCTTTTGTGCTTTGCCTCGGTTTACGAACCAGGCTCGGTTTGCTATATTTCTTTTCCTGAGGGGAGGGAGAGGCCCCGTAGACCATCTCTCAGTGGCCGTGGGCTACATTTTGTGGCTGTAGGCCATTTTGCCCATTTCGGAGCCCGGTTCCCGGTTTTCGGAGCCGTCAGGCCGTGTGCCTCGGTTCGGGACTGCTTAACCATCTCCTATTGCTCCGGTTTTTGGGATGCATCTTATTTACTCTCTTTTGAGGGACACTGAGGTCTGAGAAACCCACTTCGTGGTCAAGTGCCACTTTCGGTGCTTAACAGGCAGTTTTCGGGGCCCCGAACTGGGCGTTCTGGCCCCCGAACATTCGTTTTGCATCGGTTTTCGTTCATTTTTGGCAGGTACCTTTGTTTCATCACCAGGAAGGCTGTAGAAGGGTGGAAGGCCAGCAATTGTTTCAGCAACCAGTTATATCCCTCTGGCGCCCTCCGACGCCCGTTTTTCTCACTTCCGAGCCAATGTTGAACACCTTTGGGCCATTTTCTTGAACTTTTAACCACATATTTGTGATGTACACACATGGGAGGACACTAAAAGTTGGTGGCCGGCCAGTAATTCCACCTGACCCTTTTGAACCCTTCCTAAAAATGGCCTATTCTCTCTCCTGTTTTACAGTTGACAATTTTGAACCACAGAGTTGTGTTGAGGGCACCTGGGAGGACACCAATTTGTGGTGGCCGGCCATTAATCTCACCTGACCTTTTTGACCCTTGGCCGGCCAAAACCTGGCCGGCCATGATCCTTGCAATGTGTACATTACAGCTATACACTTTTTTCCCCAAAAAAACCTGTATCTAGGGGGACAACTTTTGGGGGGAAACTTGGCTTGTTTTCTCCCCACTTTTTCCCTCCTTTTCTCCCCCTCTTTGGTCCATATACTTGGCTGGCCAGCTCTGTCCTAAGGGTTAGAAAATCTCCCTTCAAGCCCTTTGCATTATATCTCTCTCCCTCTCCATCTCCAAGCTTCCATTCTTCAAACCCTACACCATTTTACACTACACCACCAAGCCCTACCCTTCCATCCTCCACTCCAGCAGTTTGAGGGTGTTCTCCAGAGCTTAGGGGTGCTGCAAATTCAAGCCAAGAGTTGCTAAAGACTTGTCTTCAAGGGTAAGTTTTATTTCCCCTCTTTTGAGCTTATTTTTGTATCATTTCTTAGCCATACATGCTTGCTATTTTGAGCTCCGGCCCTAACTGAAAGTGGCATTTTTTTGAGCTCCTTTTCACTTTTTCTTAAGAGCCTCTCATTGTTTGAGGCCCCCTTGATGCACTTGCTTCATTATCCTTCTTAAATGCCATTATCTTGCATAGTATTTTTGGCCTATGTGTGATCTGTTTTGGAGCATGATGTAAACTGTAGATAGGCTTATTTTGAGCCCTTCTTCAACATTGAAGAAGGGCTCATCACTGTTTGGGACCTCCATGTGCCACTTGTCATTATACCCCTCTTTGGTCCCCATTTTTGCATGATTTATTAGCCTATTATGCTTCTGTTTTTAGGCTCTTTTCAGAACTGAAAACAGTCTTCTTTTGGCCCATTCTTATTTTTTTATTAAGGGCCTTTCATAATTTGAGGCATATTTTATACACTTTATGTTATATCTCTCTTTTGGGCCTTATTTTGCATAGCATTTTGGACATATTTGCATACTGTTTTGGGTCCGGCCATCAACTGTAAAATACATTATTTTTGGCCCCTCTTCAACATTGTTGAAGGGCACTTTTGTGTTTAATGCCAGCAACCGCTACTTGCTTCTTTGGCCATCTTTTGGCCCATTTCTTGCATGAGAGTTTAGTCATACCTGTGCTGATTTTTGTGGTTTGCCATAAACTATAAAAGATCATATTTTGGGCTCCTCTTCAACTTTGTTGAAGGGCCCTAATCTGTTTTGGGTCGGCAGCTGTGAGTTGTTTCTTTACCTCACGTTTAGGGTCATTTTTGCATGCTAGTTTTGCCATATTTGTGCTTGCTGTTTGGCCATGCTTTGAACTGTAAAAATGCTTATTTTTGGGCTTCCTTGCTTCTGTCTTTTCATTCCATGTTTAAATTATGCATGCATTGCATAGCTATAGGCCATTTCATGCGCCAAAATTCATGTTTCGGGACTTGTTCCATGCATCGGGTATCATTTCGCTTCGTTTCGGGGCTGTTTTGCCCCTCATTTTGCTACTGATTTTTGCATGTTTGCATACCATATTCCATGTCTTTGCCATGTCTCATTAGAGTGGCATTTCGGTGCCTGAGGGTTGGTTCTCGGTTTGAGTGCACGCGTACACGCATTTCGAGTTGTCTTGTTTTCATCTGATGGCCTCCTATGTGAGTGTGGCTGAGGCTCTCTCATGTTGGTGTAAGCCCATTATTGCATTGCGTATGCCATTTTCATCCATAGCATTGTGTATGCTTGGTTGTGTATTACTTTATTACATTGTGTATGTCATTCCATAACATTGTGTATGTTAGGATTGTATCTTAGTTGCATTTCATGCATGTCATGCATATTGCATCGTGTTCGGGATAGGAGTTAGCCTGGGCACGGGCAACGAGGTGCGTTTCGTACTCCGAGTGACGGAACGTGTCTCAATTCCCTAGTCACTGACACTCCGGATCATCCATGATGGAGTTAGGTTCTTGTTGTGTTTATATGTGCATTCATTCTATATTGAATTGCACAATTCGACCCCTCCGCCATCATGCATCGATATGCGTGATTGGTGGCACGAGGATCGAGGCATGCATATATCTGTGAAAATACATTGCTATGCCCCTTTCCTGCTCTCTGTTGCAGCAAATCAAGAATCAGAGCATTACATTCAAAAATGCTAGAATATAATGAAAAGGGGAGTTAGAGTAGCTTATGAATGAATTCCATGCTAATGGTAAGTTGGCTCGATGAGTGAACAGTTCTTTTATTACTTTAATTCCCAAAAAAGATAATCCCATGGGTCTGAGTGATTATAGGCCTATTAGTTTGGTAAGTTCAGTGTACAAAAAAGTTGCCAAGGTTTTATCAAGAAGATTGAGAAAGGTGCTTTTAAAGATTATTAGTGAAGTGCAAACAGCCTTTTTGAGTAGAAGATGTATCCTGGATGGGGTGTTAATTACCAATGAAGTGGTGGATTGGTAGAAAAGATCAAAGAAACAAGGTATCATCCTAAAGTTGGATTTTGATAAAGCATATGATTCAATGAACTAGGAGTTCTTGTATTCAATGATGACCAACTTTGGTTTTGGATAGAAATAGGTGAGGTGGATGAAGACTTGTATCTCTACAGCTAGAGTCTCAGTGCTAGTTAATGGTTCACCCATCTAGGCTAATAACCGGAATAAGAACGCATAATGTTTTCAAAAATAGATATCATGGTTAGTAGAGGCCGATCTTTGATCGGGCGAGCGGGGGTGCTCACGAAGTGACCTTCCCCAATCGTACCCAAGTTCCCGAGCCGAGGCAACTTTGGTGATGACGGACACGTGGCCTTAGGCAAACGAGTCAGGGTTTCGTAAATTTCCCCAAAATAAAACATTTAGGTGGCGACTTTGTATCTGGCAAAGCAGTCCATGTTTGGCACTTCTTTCAAAAATCTGTTTTCTCAAAACGATTTTCCGGATTTGGACTCTTTGGTTCAGACTTAGAACCGTGACAAATTTGAGAGTCTTGAGCTGTAGTGACCCCAAATGAACAGAACGGGAGCTCGTTCCTCCCGGGGCGTTCGGGGGACGTCTACGAGGGGCTAAATGTGAAATGGGTCGGGTCCAAGCCTTAGGTTGGCCCAATCCATTGAAGTCCGAATCCAAGTGGGCTGGATGAGTATATGGGCAAACCAATTGAGCCCAACTTCATGATCAACAGTCCACCCAGGTCCTCAAGCACTTGGGCCCAACCTGCAGTGGAAAGACTAGTCCAGCCATGGTGCTGGGCTGGGCCGAGCTACGAGACTGAACCTATAGGCCGAGCAGAAAATAGGCTGAGCCCATACAAAGATATCCGAATGGATCAGCCCATCTCCATGAATGATCCTGTAAAAGGCCGAGACAAGGCATAATGATGCCGAGCTGAGGCACAGCGGTACCGAGCTGAGGAAACCTCGCAAGGAAACGTGGAAGTTGTGAATGTGTGCATGTGCATGTGCGAGTGAGCCAAATATGATGAATAAGATAAAAAGAGGCAATAGAAGAAGAATCACAAGAGGACTTACAGAGATTAGAACAGTGGTTGCAGAGCAAGATCAGCGGCAAAAAAGTCTGAGCAGGGCACCAACAAGACTGGTTCAGAGGAACGGGAAAAGTTCTTTCTCTCTCTTTGAAACTCTCTGGATAAACGAAAAAGCAGACGAATGGATTTGTGTCGACAGCCAGAGCATTAATTACACTAGCTGGCGCGTAGGTACACGGAGCACGACCTTCAGTATGGAATCGACGCACTATCTCTGCACACCTATCTCACATCGCCACGTGTCACCATGAAAGGACGCATGCAGGGATTGTGTGTCAGGATTGAACCGTCACCAAGGCCGAACTGGGAAAAACCGAAACGACACGATGCTTGGGAAGCAGAGCAATAGCTCCCCCTAAGGGGAACCTTAACGCGAGCTAGGGGGAAAATGAAGGGGCTAAATGTGAAATGGGTCGGGTCCAAGCCTTGGGTTGGCCCAATCCACTGAAGTCCGAATCCAAGCAAACCAATTGAGCCCAACTTCATGATCAACAGTCCACCCAGGTCCTCAAGCACTTGGGCCCAACCTGCAGTGGAAAGGCTAGTCCAGCAGTGGTGCTGGGCTGGGCAGAGCTACGAGACTGAACCTATAGGCCGAGCAGAAGATAGGCTGAGCCCATACAAAGATATCCAAATGGATCAGCCCATCTCCATGAATGATCCTGTAAAAGGCCGAGACAAGGCATAATGATGCCGAGCTGAGGCACAGCGATACCGAGCTGAGGAAACCTCGCAAGGAAACGTGGAAGTTGTGAATGTGTGCATGTGCAAGTTGCCACCTCAGCTGGTCCCCTACACCTAGAATCACGAAAGTTGTTGAATCAGAGGAATGCGGTTTGCTATCAGCATGGCTACAATGAGTATATGCATTCAATGACAACTACCAAGTGGTCTCTCACCTTGAGCAATGCTAAAAGGACACTTGGCAGCATCCAAACTCCATGAACCCACCTTGAGAAGCAAGCAAGGAACACTATATATACAACATGAACTTCACATTGAAGGTAACTGAACGATTCCAAGTAAACTACAAGCTCAACTCAATATACATTCTCTCTCCGATCACTAATTCCCACACCGGAGGGGTTATCTGGCCAACTCCGGCCGGGCAGCTCTAACGGTGCTTCTTGTGGCAGGAACCTCAGTCCCTGGATAGTCCAACCAAGTGTGGAGCCCCAATCCACTTTCATCTAGTGCGGAATCCGGTACGCACAGGTATGTAATAAAGCATTCAATTTTTAAACACTTTTGATTTATTTGTTTGATTTTCTATTTAATTTTTTTTTTATTTTGTTGTAGAAGTTGTATGAACTGCTATATGAGTTATGATTTGTACTTAAATTGACTTCCTAAGTTGCTACCCAATACCTTTAGCTTGAAAAATATTTCCTTTAGCAATTTTTCTTAAATTTACTTTGTACTTTTTTTTTATCTAGTGTTCGTATTTGATTTTTTTTAAGCGTCATTGTAGAATCCTAATTTCAAATTCGGTAATTACTATTTTTATACAAACTTACATTGCATGAATGGTTTGTTGAAGGCAATTTTAGTATATTTTTATTTTTATTTTTTTAATTTTTAGAATGAAGATTTTGGAAAAAAGTTTGGTGCGTCTGACAAATTTTTAAAAAGTTATTTTTTTTGGTCATTGAGAAAAATTAGAGTAAGCTTAATTTTATTTTATTTTTTGTTTTTTATTTTTATTTTTTACAATGTTTTAGATTCTTCTTGAATAAAAGGACCTCAAAATGGGGAAAATTAATACGGATTTATTTATTTTAATTTAAGGAAAGAAAAAGTAGGAAAAATGGTAACGTTTTAAACAATTTCCAAATAAGATGGATGCCCATATTTTCTAGTTTTGTTATAAAAAATATTTAAAAGTATATTTTCTAATTCAAAAATAAATAAATAAATAAATAAGTGGGCCAAATAACTCATGAATTGGAAAAAAAAAAATCAAAAGAAATTTCTAAAGACTAGGCTTGAGTTAAAAATTATTAGTATAAAAATCGACTCAAACTCGATTTTTAGACTAATTTTAGTGTTTAATCTAATACTGGAACAAGGCCAACTCAAGACAAATTGAGGCCTAAAGCAATAAGTTACAATGAAGCTTTTTACAAATTTTTCATGTTATGTAAAATTATTATGTAAAAATTATTTTTCTAAGATTTTGATATACGAAACTACTAATTAAATCTTCATATCAAGTTTTGTTGATATATTTGTTTTGAATTAATAGTATAGTTAATCCACTTAATCTCTTTTATGCCAATTTATTAATAATACATGCATTTTTGGAGGGACCAATTTTTTTTTATTTTTTATTTTTAACATAGTTTAATACTTCAATTAATTATAAAAATTCTTCAGAAATTGTATTGCCTCATTATCAACTTTCTCACATTGATGAAAATGTAATATTTTCTATTGTTACACACAACAACATATTTGGAAAGAAAAATTCTATACAAACGTATATAATTTTTACTATACGATTTGGAAGAAAGATGTCACCTCAAAGAGTAAGAATATTATAAATTTATTCAGTTACCAAAAGAAATTAGTAAAAAATAAAATTTATTTGTATAGTATTACTTGTTTTAAATAACAATTTTAGGCATTATTTCTTGGGGAAAATTATTAGAAAGTCCTATATGGGAATCAATTACTCAAATAAGGTCCATCGGTTTTCTGTACACTAATAGGTCTTGTTTATTTTGACAATCTTACCATGATATCCTATTTTAAATTTTATATGATTTTGTGGCCGTTTCTACCTTTCTTATTGGGGAAGTCATCTTAGGAAAGTTGGATCCAATTTTTAAATCACGTTTCTGTCACTTTAATATAATACTCAAACGTAACACTTTAAAAAAATTTCATAGTATATTTTTTCCTAACGTAACACTCCAACATAACGAACTAAAAAAATTATTAGTATACTTTTATTAAATGTAACACTCCATCACTAAAAAATTTCCTAGTGTACTTTTCTCAAATTTAACACTTTAACATATACTCCAAGGTAACACTTCAAAAAAACTCATTGTACTTTTCCTAAATATAATACTCCAAAGCTCTAATGTAACACACTAAAAAATCCCTTAGTATACTTTTCTCAAACATGACACTCTTTAAAAAATTAATTGGTTGGGGTAGAGAGCTTAAAAGCTCAAGGAGAAGCTGTTTTGCCTTCACTTTGCTTGTAAACTTTGTAGTCCTATCCAATAGTTTACTATAACACATATTGCTATGGTATTCTGTTTTTTTTTTTTTTTTGAAATATTTCTAAGAGATGACTTATCAATGCTCCTGGTGTTATTTACTTGTAAAAATTAGTTAAGATTGATGAAATTTGTTCTTGGAAGCCTTGGATGAAATTAGATAAAACAGAAAACAATAATGTAATAGCATAATTTTATGTTCCTACAATTCTCCCATCTCATCTTTTTGACATTCTTCTGTTGGCCCTGATTGTTTGTAGCGTATCTGAATTCATTCCTTTTTTATTATTGTTTTTACAGGATGAGGCTGATCTAATTGACAGAAATGACCAGCAGCAGTTTCTGGCAAGCGCTGATTTTCTTTCAAATTACGGCATGCCCACTTTGATTTCTAATATGCAGGCAGCAGCATCTGAAGTCCTCAAGGGGTAAGACTTGTAAAATATGGCAAGTGTTCATAAATCATAGTTTATGTTACATCAAAGGATATATCTTATAGATATTTTAAAAATTATTGTCAAGTCGCCAATTGTCCCAAAAGCTTAAGTTGATTGGAAATAGACCCAATATTGTAAAATATGGCAAGTGTTCATAAATCATAGTTTATGTTACATCAAAGGATATATCTTATAGATATTTTAAAAATTATTGTCAAGTCGCCAATTGTCCCAAAAGCTTAAGTTGATTGGAAATAGACCCAATATTGTAAAATATGGCAAGTGTTCATGAACTTTTCATTTGCAGAAAGCAGTTGAAGGATTTGTTCAACACCACTGTACTTCATGAAACGACTGTGCAGATATTGGACATGTTCATGAGCATGGGAAGCCCTCATCACTGGGTGGAATATTTAATGCCGGAGGATCCTAATTTCTACAAACTTGTTGCATTCTCCAACAGTGACAGCACAGATCCTTCTGATAGTACCAAATTTGATCGACTCATGGTGGAGACACGTGCAGTATTATCCAGGTACAATCATTTTCTTTCCATCATTTGCAGTTTTGTTTAGGTACTATCATTTTCTTTCTGTTCCAACAGTTGAGAAATATTAGTTTTAGCTAAATGGGTGGTCATTATTTGAGACGGCAGTGCTTCCAATACAAACAATAACAATTAGCAAATCGATTCTTGGTTTGGCATGGATTGATTAGCTAATTGATCCCATTAATAGGGTTCGTACTCAATTATTGATATGGCATGAACTGCAGAGGAAACCGGTGCAGAAGATAACCCATTTTTATTATTAAAATATTTTAGGGTAGATGTATTCTCTCAAATCCAATGGTCCAAAATGAGGTGCATACATACATCCTCTAACGGGTGTGTATGAACTCTTAGACAAAAAATTTGGGGATACTTCCAATCCTAAACATCAGATGACCAATCCTAGTTTGTATCTTCTTTCTATTGATCTTTTAGCCCTTTTTTCTGGTTTATATTTTTGCAGTGCTGAGTTTGGGAATATGGTTGACGTGTCACTAAATACAGCTGTGGATGCGCTAATGGAAGATATTAAGGCTCATCTGGGAGAAGGCAATTCATTACCAGGGATTCCGCTGGCCAAACTTTTGCCTCGGCTTGCACAGATTAGTCCTCTACTGCTTGAAGAACCAAGCAAGAACAGGTTTATTCAGATTATCCAAACAATACCTGAAGTTGAACTATTTTTCACTCTTCTTTATTCAAAAATGCCAACCTCATAGGTTAGTGAGCTAGATTGTAATTTCACTTTCCATGGAGGCATTGATCTTAAAGGATTTAGGTTTGGGCCTTCAAAGTTTCAACAGCTTAGCAGGAATAAATGAAAAGATGAAGATGGTTCGGTGAGATTGTAATTTGTTGCCGGTACTGTTTACTGTATTATTATGTATTTTGAGTCTTGCCAACATTAATTTGTTTGGCCATGGTGAGCTATTCTTGCTTTATAGGAGGTTCTCCTCTTGAATATAGTAGTATCATGCCGGAAAGTAACATTTCTTCTATGGCCTCGTTTGGGAAGTTGGCTATTTTAATGGGTTATATTAGTTTTTGATTATTTTAATAGGCTAAATTTTTT